AACAATACACAAATAACCCCACTAAAAGAAGAAGCTTACGACGACGACGTAATGGTCCGACTTGGACCATTGACAAAGTCACACTGTCGTCGTAAGCTTCTCTCTTTTATGTGTGGGTTATTTGTGTATATACTCCTCCACATTGTTAAAATGCTGTCCCCTGATTACCATGTTTATTTTTGGCAAGAGAAAGAAGTCACAGGAGGGGGGGGACCCAGATCTGAGAAATAGGGAGAGTGGGGAATGACCACCATGTTTTGGGCCAGAAAATGAAGGTCTCTCTAGTGTCTAGTCAACAAGTGGGGGTACAAATTTCTCAGCTACTCACCCCATGTTCAAATTCTAAGCTAAAATGCTTTGGTACAACCCATAAGCAATTCCTCACTTTTTCGATGCTGGCATCTGTTTTTGATGTTAATAGACAGCCAGGACATTCATCATCCTCAAATGACTTTCGTACTGCTTTGAATCAAGATCACTCAAAATACTGTGTCTGACCCATTGCCAATTCTTTGCTGAAGAATTCTGCAAGTTTCACTAGTCGTTTTGCTGAACTTGAAACAGAATTTCATACATACACAATGTTTCTTTCTTGCAAAAGTTCTATTCTTTTGCACAAAAAAGTTGCAACTGTGTGACAAAAATTGCCCATCAAACCTCAGTGGAAAGACCAACCTCACTACAATTTGCCACACTACCTCACAATGGAATGTACCGTGCAGTGTGATCTTCACCACTATATTTCACCCAGGAAGTATGTGAAAATTTGACTATGGAAACTTTCTGATAGCACCTCATACCATAACTCTTAGCTGAAAGAAAGGATTATCGGTAAATTTTACAAACTGGTTTAGATGTCATGCAGGGCAAGAATGTGCGGAAAATTGAATATTTACCCGAGCCTTAATGAACAAATGTATAAAATGGACAACATAATTTCTCTGGCATACAATACAGAAACTCTATTGACTGATGCCTACAAAGTCATCATAGTCATTGAATCAGCTCTGATAGGAAATGAGGTCAAAGCTATTACTTAGCATTAGTGAGGTTTTTTCTGATTTTGTGCAGTGTATAAAGATTTAATTCAGTTATTGACTGATTCATTATACAGTGGAACCTTGGTTTTCTTATTCCCCAGTTTTCATAGGATTTGGTTTACGACGACTTTTTTTTGTCAAAATTTTGCCCGTTTTCGTACATCCGCTCGGTTTTCGTAGAGGTTGAAAATGGTCCGTACCAAACGTGTCTGCGTGACTCGGCCACTAAAGCACCCACACAAAGCATCCCATGCGTTTGTGACTCAGTCTGCCTTTGTTTCTCATTGAGTGAGCATCACCCCGCGTGTTCATCCAAAACGTTTCATAATAATCCATTTTTCTGTGCTTGTTTACTGAGTGCAACTGCTAAATAAGCCACCATGGGGCCAAAGAAAGTTCCGAGTGCCAGCCCTCTGATAAAGAAGGCGAGAAACACGATAGAATATAGTGTCTTTGGGGAAGTCCATGGGGTTAGATGCAAGTGGCCAGGATGTGGAAGAGTTAGTGGACGACCACAGGGAAGAGCTAACCAGTGAAGATCTGCAAGACCTTCAACTGGAACAGCAACAGACTGCAGCTGAGGAAATTGCTTCAGAGGAGGAAGAAGGGAGAAAGGAGAATGTGCCTTCTTCAGTGATTAAGGACATGTGTGCAAAGTGGAGCGAGTTGCAAAGTTTTGTGGAGAAATATCACCCTAACAAATCTGTTGCAAGCTGTGTCTATAACATGTTCAATGACAATGCCTTGTCCCATTTTAGTCAAATCTTAAAGAAACGCCAGAAACAGACCTTTCTGGACAGATTTTTTGTGCGACAGGGGTACAGTGACTCTCAAGCTGGTCCTAGTGCCAGTAAAAGACAAAGAAGGGAAGTAACCCTGGATAAGGCCTTGATACCTGAAGTCCTTATGGAAGGGGATTTCCCTTCCAAATAATAACCTCTCCTCCTCCCTCTCCCCTCCTTGCCGTTTTCCATGTCTCAACAAGAGTCTTCAATAAAGGTAAAAGTGATGTTAAATGTTCATTTATCCATTTCATTAGTCTTTCTTTCTTTCTTTCAGCACACCGGCCGTATCCCACCGAGGCAGGGCGGCTCAAAAGGAAAAACGAAAGTTTCTCGTTTTACATTTAGTAATATATACAGGAGAAGGGGTTACTAGCCCCTTGCTTCCGGCATTCTAGTCGCCTCTTACGACACGCATGGGTTACGGAGGAAGAATTCTGTTCCACTTCCCCATGGAGATAAGAGGAAATAAACAAGAACAAGAACTAGAAAGAAAATAGAAGAAAACCCAGAGGGGTATGTATGTATATATATGCTTGTACATGTATGTGTAGTGTGACCTAAGTGTAAGCAGAAGTAGCAAGACGTACCTGAAATCTTGCATGTGTATGGGAAAAAAATAAAGACACCAACAATCCTACCATCGTGTAAAACAATTACAGGCTTCCGTTTTACACTCACTTGACAGGATGGTAGTACCTCCCTGGGCGGTTGCTGTCTACCAACCTACTACCTAGGACTTCATTAGTCATTTATATTTATTTCTCCTTATTTTCTGTTTGTAAAACTATAGTTCTTTCTTTCATTCAACACACCGGCCGTATCCCACCGAGGCAGGGTGGCCCAAAAGGAAAAATGAAAGTTTCTCCTTTTACATTCAGTAATGTATACAGGAGAAGGGGTTACTAGCCCCTTGCTCCCGGCATTTTAGTCACCTCTTACAACACGCATGGCTTACGAGGAAGAATTCTGTTCCACTTCCCCATGGAGATAAGGGGAAATAAACAAGAACAAGAACTAGAAAGAAAATAGAAGAAAACCCAGAGGGGCATGTACATAGTATATGCTTGTACATGTATGTGTAGTGTGACCTAAGTGTAAGTAGAAGTAGCAAGACGTACCTGAAATCTTGCATGTTTATGAGACAGAAAAAAAGACACCAGCAATCCTACCATCATGTAAAACAAATACAGGCTTGCGTTTTACACTCACTTGGCAGGACGGTAGTACCTCCCCGGGTGGTTGCTGTCTACCAGCCTACTACCTAGGATTTCATTAGTGATTTATATTTATTTCTCTTTGTTTTCTGTTTGTAAAACTATAGTTATTCTCTATAAAATGTATTTTTTGTTAATATTTTTGAGTGTCTAGAACAGATTAATTGAATTTACATTTTTCCTTACGGGAAATATTGCTTCAGTTTTCGTATGATTTGATTTTTGTCAGACTTTTCAGAACGGATTAATCACAAAAACCATGGTTCCACTGTAAAGGGAATTTTCATCATTCATAGGAAATTACTAAACTCATAGAAGCCACAGTGCTTGGGGAACAGACGTAATCATGTTTGATCCAAGGTGAGGGTAGCTCCACTTCCCTGAAACTAACTTTTTACAAGCATCATAGCATCCTCCTAATAAATGATCTAGGGTGGACCAAAATTGACTCTCTAAAAACATTCCTGAATTGTGTATCAAGGACAGCATAATATCTAATTACAAGAAAACAGCAAAGGTTCAAATAAGGAAAGCAACAGATGATAAATCTAGAAAAGAATAAACTAATCAGAATGACACTGAGAGGCTGAAGGAAAGGCAAATCACAGAATGCTGGTGATGCAAGTAAATATAGAAATACACATTTAATGAAAGGGTTTTATTCATTCTCCATTGATTCAGGTTATCATTCTACTACCTGAAAGAAACATAGGACAATTGTAAGTATCCATTATGAAATTATCTATGCATTTATTTTTCATGCACCCACCTGATGGTTTTCGATGTTTAACAGATGCTCCTTCTGGAATAAATGCAGCTACCATGAGTGCACAGATGACCAATAATGCACCAAATACAAAAGGAGGACCTGGTACAAAATTTGGACTGCTGGTAATATGTGGAGTTGTACCATTTCCTAAAGCTGACCCATTTGGCTGAAAACAAAATTAAAATAAATTAAGAACAGTAAGGAGATTTTACTTATAAATATATGAATACTGCAAAATGCAATTCTCATGAATACTGCACAATGTAATTAAAAAATTACAAGGGAAAAATAATATAACAAGTAAAGCTTATGTTGGAAATATGATAAATGGTGAAAAAAAAAGGAAAGGGATGCAGGAATGAAGTTCTAGAATGTGAAAATTAAGAAAGAGTAGTCTTAAAAAGTAATGAATATGATATGAAGTAAGAGTTGTCACAATTACTGTTTACAAATGACAGTACCACTGAGAGATTTGAAAGAAAAGTTGCAAAGAAAGGTTGAGGTCATGGAGCAGGAGCTGCTCTTGGTGTTGATGATGATAGTGGTGAGGAAGGAAAAGAGAAAGCAGCAGCAGCAACAGAATGAAGAATGAAAGAGGGAGAAGCTGGAGCAGAGGATGACTGAGGAAGAGGGCAAACAGGAATGGCAACCTTTGTATAAAGGGAAAGAGAGAGGAAGGATCTGTGGGAGATGGAGCTGCAATACATGTTGGAGAGAATGACAATGAGGAAGATGAGAAAAGATGGCAAGAATAGAGATCAGTTAGGAAGGAAGGAAATTGGAGAAAGTGTTGTACTGTATATGCAAGTACTTAGGAATGAATGTACATTATATCAATACAAAATGATTATAGCTCTCAGAGATTATAGCTTTCATAGAATTTTTTTTTTATGTTGATAAATTTCATTCTTTAGGTTTGTGCATCTGCTATTTATTATTATTATTATAATCATGCTGATGACAATGTACTTTTGGGAGATTCTGAAGAGAAGTTGCAGAGGTTGGTGGATGAATTTGGTAGGGTATGTAAAAGAAGAAAATTAAAAGTGAATATAGGAAAGAGTAAGGTTATGAGAATAACAAAAAGATTAGGTGATGAAAGATTGGATATCAGATTGGAGGGAGAGAGTATGGAGGAGGTGAATGTATTCAGATATTTAGGAGTGGACGTGTCAGCAGATGGGTTTATGAAGGATGAGGTGAATCACAGAATTTATGAGGGGAAAAGGGTGAGTGGTGCACTTAGGACTCTGTGGAGACAAAGAACTTTGTCCATGGAAGCAAAGAGGAGAATGTATGAGAGTATAGTTGTACCAACACTCTTGTATGGGTGTGAAGCATGGGTGATGAATGTTGCAACAAGAAGGCTGGAGGCAGTGGAGATGTCATGTCTGAGGGCAATGTGTGGTGTGAATATAATGTACTTTGGAAATTAGGAGAAGGTGTAGGATTACCAAAACTATTATCCAGAGGGCTGAGGAGGGGTTGTTGAGGTGGTTCAGACATGTAGAGAGAATGGAACAAAACAGAATAACTTCAAGAGTGTATATATAAATCTATAGTGGAGGGAAGGCGGGTTAGGGGTCAGCCTAGGAAGGGTTGGAGGGAGGGGGTAAAGGAGGTTTTGTATGCGAGGGGCTTGGACTTCCAGCAAGCATGCGTGAGCGTATTTGATGGGAGTGAATGGAGACAAATGGTTTTTAATACTTGACATACTGTTGGAGTGTGAGCAAAGTAACATTTATGAAGGGATTCAGGGAAACCGGCAGGCCGGACTTGAGTCCTGGAGATGGGAAGTACAGTGTCTACACTCTGAAGGAGGGGTGTTAATGTTGCAGTTTTATAACTGCAGTGTAAAGCACCCCTCTGGTAAGACAGTGATGGAGTGAACGATGACAAAAGTTTTTCTTTTTCGGGCGACCCTGCCATGGTGGGAATTGGCCGATGTGTTAATAAAAAAAAAAAAAAAATGGGACAACACTAAACCCATAGGGGTCATACAACACCTGGGAAATAGAAGGTTATAAGGTTTAATCGAAGGAAGGAAAGGATAGCTTTAATTCCTTGGATAAAGTGCCCCTCACTGACATTAAGGCACTACCCCTAGAAGGGAATCTGTTACACAATAAACCTGTACAGCTGTAATTTCTAAGAATCTTTATACACTTTCCTCTATAGTTCCTTATAAACAGTGTTATGCTTACTCTGTGGATGCCATCATCTGTTAACTCTGGGTTAAGATCTACGTGGAAGAGGTAAAAGATGAAGCCGAACACTGCAGGACCAAGACCAGAACACAGGCCTCTCATGCCGGTTATAATACCCTGCACCACACCTGGAATATAAACACACACTAAACTCATTGAGAATTGCAAAATAATTTGCAATATCAAGTCATTTCTAATAAAACCCAACAATCCCTGTAATGTGAATTGGCTTTTTTACTCTCTCATTAAGGTAATTAATTGATTTAAATAAATTCTAAGTTAATATTCATATTCTGTGACATGCCTTACCTCTTTCACATAAATTATAGTCATTTCCATATTTATTTTTTGGCAATTAAACAATATTAGGCAGTAGACCTGTTGACCCAATCATCCAGGAAAGTGCAACTGTCAAAGTGAAAAAAAGACACTGCATTTCTTTTTCCCATAAATGGATTTTTTCTTTGCTACACAATTTAATGTTAGCTGGTGGTCTGTTATACTTACTCAACTTCTATACTGCCCAATGACTAAATATTAATTTCCCTACTTTTATTATACATTATACTTTTGCCTTTCTATATTTCCAAACTTCAGTTTTCTATTTATTCAAACTCTAGATGATGCTGAAGGCATCTTTAGTTGTAGCACATACTACTTCATCTTTCCATTCCATTTATGATATATTCTTTATTACTGTTGTTTCTTTCTTTTAATTTTAAAATTTCATGATTCCTTTCTTAAATTTTGCACACATTAATTAGTTTATGAAATCAGTAAGAGAATTCTGTATAAGAATAGGTCATTACAACTTGTATTCTTACTGCTTGAGTTAAAAGAAATCTTCCCTTAAGCAGTTTACCAAATAAGAAAAGTTTAACAGTTACAATATTACTCCCATTGCCAGTACCTTCATGTTTATCAAGCAATGTGTTAAGAATTGATAATTTTTCTCTAAGATAATTAGAAAGATCATTACAATTAAAACATGTCTCTTATGACACCAGTACCACCAAAACTATAGCTTCAGGATCAACTATTATCCAAACTCTGTCTAATGCATTCCCAGTGTAAAATAATGTATGAAAATAAAAATAGGCACTGAAACATCTATTTCAATTACTGCTGACTTAACAAGTGCCTGCACTCTGAAGGAGGGGTGTTAATGTTGCAGTTTAAAAACTGTAGTGTAAAGCACCCTTCTGGCAAGACAGTGATGGAGTGAATGATGGTGAAAGTTTTTCTTTTTCGGGCCACCCTGCCTTGGTGGGAATCAGCCAGTGTGATAATAATAAATAATAATTAACAAAAAAATATAGGTAATGAAAGACTGGATATTAGACTGGAAGGAGGGAGTAAGGAGGAAGTGAATGTGTTCAGATGTTTGGGAGTGACCATTTTTTTTTATCTGAAATTGCCAAAATCTGTTAATGAGAAAAGTTACTGTATTAAACGAGTTTTAAGCAAGTTAAATTTCTTCATTTACAAACCTTGTTTATCTGCATCAGTGTGAGTGCTAACATAGGCACTAATGGCAGGGTAGGTAATGGAAGATACAGATGCTAGAAGGCCTGCTGCCCACATCATCCATATCTTGGAACCAAACCCATACCACATAAGCTGCAGCATCTCAAATACTAGTCCCACCTGTAGGAAATTACAATACATAAATTTTTACAATAACATTCCAGATGAGCACAAATTTTCATCCTAACAACACAAATCATATACTGGTCAACAACCAAAATGCTTCCAAAACCAGAGTAGCAATTTCCAACTAATTTTAGGTCACTGATAATGAATATCATGGTTAAAATTGTTTGTTAGCTCTATTTTTCAATATACACCTACATGTCACAACAGGTTCCAACAGGCTTGCGGCAGTGTTCCTTACCACACTCGCAGTCTCACTGCCCTTCATTATTGTTCCAGTAGTCGTAGAAGGTGGTTGTGCTGTGCAGGTTTATATTTTGAGGTGAAAGGTAGGTAATTTTCTTAGCCAAACAGGGCAGGTACACCAAGTGTTACTGCTATTTAAATGGGACAGCCGTGCAAGAGGTTCCCACTACATCATGAGAGACTGGCCACCTCTTCAATCATTGGAGTCTGGGATGAAAAATGTTCAACATCCACCTCTCATTGAACCAAACAAAATTTTGCTACCACCACTAAACATAAAACTGGGGCTCATGAGAAACTTTGTAAAAGCTACGGACAAATCCGGTCAGGGATTCAAGTATTTAACATCAAAATTCCCCTCATTGAGCGACGCTAAGATAAGAGAGGGAGTCGTCAATGGTCCTCAGGTTCGAGAGCTTCTTAAAGATGGTGACCTTGAATCAGACCTTCATGGGGAGGAGAAAGCTAATTGGGAAGCACTCAGGTTAGTGGCAAGAGGATTTCTCGGAAACAGAAGGGAAGGCAACTATAAAGAATTGGTGAAAAACCTCATCAAGGCTTACAAGAACATGGGATGTAACATGTCACTTAAAATCCACTTTTTGGACTCACATTTAGACTTTTTCCAGTGAACTGTGGGGCAGTTATGGCAAACATGGTGAAAAGTTTCACCAAGATATTTCAACCATGAAAAAATGGTACCAGGTCAAATGGAGCACAAAAATGCTTGCAGACCATTGGCAAGAGATGATTCTTCAGCACACTACAAATGTCAAGCAAAAAGGCAGAGTAGGTACGGATTAGAGTTTAAAACATGCTGACACATATATTGTATGTTATAATAAAATAAACAAATATTACACGTCTCGTATTTTTAAACCTACAGACAGTAAGCATTTTTCAAAGTGATATTTGGAGTCAGAACATGAAAATACATAAGAATTAACTAATCTCATTTAAGAAGCATACAACTTTTCAAAAATTGTTGACCAGTGTTAATTACAAAATATTCTTAACATTGACTTCTGACAGATGAATAGACACAAAGAAATATAGAAGACACTCACATAATACATATTATCAGCATAACATAGTTTACATTTAGAAACCAACAATTTCCATACCTTGGCATGATCTCATCACAATCTAATTGGATCCAGTGGATAAATATGAACATTTTTTTATTCCTCACTATCACTCTACTGTGTATCCTAGTCATGTCTACTTGGTGAACAATAAAAAAGGAGCGAAGTCCATCAACCATAAAGAAGAAGGGAAGTCCATCACGTCTATGATCTTTCATTCTCCTCATTCCACCTAAACAGCCTGTCTCTCTTTTGTAATATAAAAGAAATTAAAATATATTTTTAATTAAGCCACACTTTTCTCAGAGGAAGGCTGCTGGGGTGGAAGGACGACAGTGTATCTCATGAATCATTATTTGCGAGTGCCTATTTGTAGCTCCACAAGCACCACTGAGTAGTGTTATGCTCTGTCCCGTCTTCAGTATTTAGACTGCCATACAAGTTTTTTTTTTTTTTTTTAAGTATTTCATCACTGACTACATCCTCTAGGATCTTATTTTGTGGTATGTTTATTTAGTTCTTAGTGTTTTAAGTAGATTTTCTAGGGCAGAGATTAAATTGCAGGTGGTGTACTGTAGGACCCCTGTAGCCACAGAGGATATGTTTCAAGGTCTACCATGGATACCTGAGATGGTACTGAACCCTCTACAGCCTCTCCTCACTTAGCAACATACTTGTTTACAGATGACTCAGATTCACGACAGGCTCTCTGACCAGCATGCATACCTAAATAATGTATATTAGAGCTAATTTCCTCAATTCTGGTTATTAAATTATAGTACACTACTATATAAACATTTAAAAATACATGTACAGTGGAACCTCTACTTGAGAGTTTAATCCATTCCATGACCTTGCTCGCAACTGGATTTGCTTGTTTGCAGAGTCAATTTTCCGCATTAAATTAACTGAAATGCAATTAATCCGTTCCAGTGGAATTCTGTACTTCAATAATTTCGCTAATATCAACTCTATGGCTTATTTATCTATCTCACTTCATCTAATATGACATAATAAACAATATAAATAACATAGAAACCTGATATATACTCCAGAATGAATAAAATATGTCATTATATATGTAGCGGTGGCGGCCAACGAGAGTTTGTCTGGAGACAGGACAAAATACTCCTCGAATATTTCGCTATCATCAACTCTACGGCTTATTTATCTATCACAGTTCATCTAATATGACATAACAAACAATATAAATAACATAGAAACCTGATATATATTCCAGAATGAATAAAATGTCATTACATATGTGGTGGTGGCAGCCGACGAGTTTGTCTGGAGACAGGACAAAATACAGTGGACCCCCGCATAACGATTACCTCCGAATGCGACCAATTATGTAAGTGTATTTATGTAAGTGCGTTTGTACGTGTATGTTTGGGGGTCTGAAATGGACTAATCTACTTCACAATATTCCTTAAGGGAATAAATTCGGTCAGTACTGGCACCTGAACATACTTATGGAGTGAAAAAATATCATTAACCGGGGGTCCACTGTACTCCTTGAATATTTCGCTATCATCGACTCTACGGCTTATTTATCTATCACAGTTCATCTAATATGAAATAATAAACAATATAAATAACATAGAAACCTGATATATACTCTAGAATGAATAAAATATGTCATTATGTTACAGGTGGAGGCAACCTCTCCCTCTTTGTTGTGGTAAACACTGCCATCTGGTGATGGCCTTTTGAAGCCGTCTATTTATATGCCCTCCAAGTCATTCTATTTTCTTTCATCCTCTCTAAACATCCAAACCACCTCAATCACCCCTCCTCAGCCCTTTGGATAATACTTTTAGAAACCCTGCACCTCCAAATATCCAAGCTATAGATTCTCTACATTATATTCACATTGTACACTGCTCTCAGACATGACATTTCCATTGCCTCCAGCCTTCTCCTGTTGCAACATTCACCATACATGCTTCACACCCATATAAGAGCATTAGCCCCACTATACTCTCATACATTACCCCCTTCCTTCCATGGGTAATGTTCTTTGTCTCCACAGACTCCTCAGTCCACCACTCACCTTTTTTTCCTCATCAATTCTATGATTCACCTGATCTTTCATAGACCCATCTGCTGACAAATCCATTCCCATATATCTGAATACATTTACTTAATCCATACTCCCTCCCTTTGATATCCAATCTTTCATTAACAATTTTTTTTATCTTCATTACCCTGCTCTTTCCTACATTCACTTTTAATTTCCTTCTTTTACATACCCTTCCAAACTCATTCACCAACCTCTGCAACTTCTCTTCAGAATCTCTCAAAAGCACAGTGTCATCAGCAAAAAGCAACTGTGAAAACTCTCACTCTGTGTTAGATTATCTCTTATCCCACACCTGAGCATTTACTTCTCTTACAACCCCCATCTATAAATATACAATGAACAATCATACGGTTATATCAAGCATCCCTGTCTAAGGCCTACTTTTACTGAGAAATTATCCTCCTCTCTCCTACATACTCTAACCTAAGCCTAACTATTCTCATGAAAACTCTTCACTGCTTTCAGTAACCTACCTCCTATTCCATACATTTGTAACATCTACCATATTGCTCTCCTATCAACCCTATCATATGCCTTTTCCAAATCCATAAAGCCAACAAAAACCTCTTCACCCTTATCTAAATACTCTTCACTTATGTGCTTCACTGTAAAGACTTGGACTACAAAGTCCCCTCCCCTACCCATCCTAGAGCCTCCTTGTTAATCTGTGATCCTGCTCTCCGTCTTACTCTTAATTCTTTCAATAATAACTACCATAGTAGGTAGTACATTGGTAGGCAGCAACCTCCCAGGGAGGTACTACCATCCTGCCAAGTGAGTGTGAAATGGGAGCCTGTAATTGTTTTACATGATGGTAGGATGGCTGGTGTCATTTGTATCTCATAAACATGCAAGATTTCAGGTACGTCTTGCTACTTCTAATTACACTTGAGTCACACTATACAGTAGGGCCCCACTTATATGGTGGGTTAGGTTCCAGGCTGTCACCGGAAAGCAGACATCGCCGGAAGGCAGAACGCCATTTTTTTCCATTTATAAATGCATATAAATGCCAGACAACAAGTTTACACTAAATTATATTAAGTTAGTAATAGAACTAGGCATTAAAAACACACAAAGTTAAATACATTCACAGTAAATTCATTACTTATCTTAAAGTATTTGTAATCTTAATGTAGGGAGAGAGGTGAGTAGTACTTATTTGTAGGAAGTCAGGTGCAGGTAGCCGAGGTGTAAGTAGCCCTGGCTCCCCGTCTCATACTTAATATATGATATTTAAAACATCCCAGAGAGGTAAAATACACATATAGTACACTCATTATTTACCTTAAAATATGTGTAGTCTTAATATAGGAAGAGAGGTGAGTAGTATTTATTTGTAGGAAGTCAGTGTAGGCAGCTGGTAGGTGTAGTCCGCCTGGACTACACCTACCGGCTACCTACACTGTGGCCTAGAGCCATATTATTAACATCGACATGCCTTGTTCACTGAATTTAATCATTTCTAACAAGTACCTTTAGATGCCATCATAAACGAAGGTAGAAGTAATGAATAATTCATGCTGAAAATCGTAAACAAAAGCGGAGTGAGGGAGTGGCTGGGCCGAACACAGATT